CAAAACCAGTCATAAGTCAACAGAAAGCATATTTTGTACTACCGGTATGCATTTTCTGATATAAAGATTTTCCAAGCTTTCCATGGAGACAACTCTGATGCAACTATCTTGGATATCATTCGTTGAGAGCCAGAAGGGTTTTAACTCTGTTTAAATGTTTGAGTTAACATCCTTCTGGCTCCAAACATAAAATATGTTATATAAAGAGCAATTCACTCCTGACGACGGATAGTCAACCTGTTCGAAACGTCCAAGCGCTATAGTTCTCCTTAGAACTATAAGCTAAGAAAGAAGCGTCCAGAACACAAAATACTAATAGTGGTGTCCATTAATAAGTTCAATTTTTACAAATCTGATGGAAGTTAAGCTGACATATGCATTTATCAACTCCACATCCCATCGAGTTGGTTCTACATGTACCTCTGTACAATACAATTGTGATTTTCAACAATCATACATTTTAATTCCAGAGGCATCTTTCTGTGCCATGACATTTTGCTATTAAAGAGAAGGTTGAGTTCTGGGAAGAGGTGAAAAATAATTTGTGAGCATTACTCATTCTTATTATGCAAGTGTGGAAGAACATCAGTTAAGACATGTTCCCTGAAAAGCATGGCTCTTCAAATGCCTTCATATTCTAAATATGCATGTAACATCGTAAAAATCGGGGGGGGGGGGGGGGGGGGGGGCCGGCTTTTTATGCCACGTGTTCGTGTAGTCCCATTTACATCTTTCTGTGCAAGTGTTTGTAACTTTACCAAGACTTGGCCACATTTCTTATCATTTTGATGATTCCAGAAATTCTTGTATGCTAGATGATCAACCTTTTCTGGTCGGTTCCACACCGTTTCTTTCACAATGCAATCGCATGACCAGAACTCAACTTTATCTTTAAAGCTTTATGTACCTAATGCCGTATGGCAGCCGTGCTAAAGCCAGGGTAATAATCGGGAGTGCCAGAGGGTCAAATCTGACTGACCTGAGCGTTATACAAGAACCCATTATTATTATTATGACATAACGTAGCCCTTTTCCCATTTGCTTTGTTTTCGGATTTGCAACCTTTTTGGTGGTTTTGGGGTGGTTCCAGTCACAGATGAACCCTCCCCATATCTCGCAAGGAATCAATATTGTCTGATATAACAGGAATGACATGTTATCCTTTAAAATATCCCATTAAATTTGAGTATGGGGGTGCCAAATTACTACAAGGCCGGAGATTGTATTACATCTCAAAGTGTCTGTCTTAAAATCTAAGTATCAAAACTACTGCTGGTAGCCGATACTACCCTAAGACATTGGTGCGGTCCCTAACCTTACCCGCCAGAATTTTTAAAGTACCGGTATTGAAACTAATGATTTATGTAGTAATAACCACTTATATCATAAACTGGGTGAACTTAATGCAAGGTTATCAACAAAACAATTTACATCATATGACCCTAACTTTCTCACCTTTCATGAACTCAATGAAGACATGTATTTTATCCACAGATTTTACACATCAACAGCACAACCCTAAAATGTATCATCCCCCAATATCGCATCTTTCGTTAACTCAAAGAACTTAAAGTATTCAAAAATGTTGAACTAACACTGAATTTTGAAATATTTTGTAACCAGAACACATAACGTTACCATAGAAAATAACACTATATACAATATATCATGACCCCACATCTCATAACTCCTGGGTGGTGTTTCACAAAGACTAAGATCGATTTTAAGTTGGACTTAACTATGTCAGGCTGTTCATGCCACTGGTTGCTCTCATCAATCCTGGCATTGGTCTCTCGAGGGACGTACAAATCATGGTCACACAGCCGGGGTAATTATGCTGCATTATTGTAGAGCGCTTAGAGACTTCTGACACAGTAAGTGTTAGGCGCTATATAAGCACTGTAATTATTTATCAACAGAATTCAGCTTTTTTGATAATTTATTATTGCAGGAAAAAATATCTGAGGATCATCATTGTGACAGCAACCAGTGGCATGAACGGCCTGCTATAGTCAAGTCTAACTTAAAGTCGATCTTAGGATCTTTGTGAAACACCACCCCCCCCCCCCCCCCCCCCCCCTCCTCCTCCTGGATTCACATCCCCATTGCACTTGAATAGGCTTACCTGGACCTTCATCGTGCAATCCAACCCTGGGGAGTATTCCTACCATATGGTCACCGTGAGCGCATATGGCAATTATACCTACCAGGTCCCCATTTCTCTATGTATGTACGGACCCATCAAAACTATATTGCAGCTTGTAAAATAAATTAGTTTCTCTTGGGTGTTGAGTGGCAAATATAGATTAGTGCCTTGCTAAAAGAAATTAGTGCAATGTCAGGGATTGAACCTAGGACCTTTACATTTCAAGTCAAGTGCTTGAACTACAACGCCTCTATAGATACATATCATAGCTCTAGATCTTTATTATACAGCGCGAGTAAAAAATTAAATCCCGAATTATTTAGTACCAATTTGTGTGGTATTTGTTCACGCTTGGATGAACAGGGGGCATAGGTTTGCGACACTCTTTCATAAGATGTATAATAGTTTACTGTTCATAGATGATTCTTTTTTAATAATTAGCAATTTTCTAGGTGTAATTTTTTTTTGACTCACACGGTTCATGTATTTCTGCCTCCCTGTAATTGAAAAGGGATTTTCAAAAATCATGTAATTTTCTTCAGGCATTCCTCATCAATCTACATTATATGATGCCACTTCGTATAAGACCACATACATAAACATGTAGCATGCCATAAATATAGGTGTACGTACAGAAATATACAGCAACGATTTAAAGTAATAAATACATCTATGGATTTCCCATATTTCTCAATTTATAGATTATAATATATTACTATAACTATATATTATTATAAATTATGTATTTGAAACGAAAATATACACTTGTATGAACCCGTCCAACTATATTGCTTGTAAAATAAATAAGCTTCAAAACTCTATAGGTAAGGTTGTGCATAACTATATCTTCATATATATATCTCACATTGGCCAATTTATATTATTTCAATTCTCAAAGAGCTGTACAAAAGAATACTTCATGTACCATCACTTCAAAGTAATAAATATTTGTCAAATTCATAATATATATTTAGATTGATAACTTTTTCATAAATAGATATCTGTAGGCAACAATGAAAACGTCCACATATATCAAAGTTTCATATACAGGTATTTGTAACAAACAATGAAAATATAAACATAAACAAGAATCAGAGATGTATGCCATTGCTATATAAAGACATGTAAAGGGAAAAAAGTACCCACTTCTACAGGTTCCTGATTCCAAGGTTAAAGTACTTATGACATAATGATATCATGTCACACAGGTACCAGCAATTTTCAGGATTTCTTGGTATCTTTTGGAATGTCCACTTAAATTTAGATACAATGTATGTATAGTAAACGGAGGTTCAAACAAGAAAATACATAGTAATTTTGTTTATCTTATATAATCACACATGTTTATAATAAGTTTCAGTGATGAAATGAATAAACTTTAAGTTTGAAATGTTGCTAGAATTGAATAACACAGTAAACGAAGCTTCAAACAAGAAAAGAAACATTTACAAGGTCAAGATACAATTTACCATCTATATACATGTATATACTAAATTATTTCAGTGATGAAATTAATGAAGGTTAGGAAATGTTGATAGTACAACTACAAATCAACAGTGCAAATTCGACATGAAAGAGTCCATATCTACGGCTGTTGATCATCGAACAAGAAAGAGGACTGCATGGTTATTGCTATTTTCTTTAAATTCAAATCACCATGCAAGTAGAAGAAAACTAGATGGAATTCGACTGCGCGCAGTCGAAAATGATGCCTCCGTTAAAGAGCAATTTTACAAACCAAAACAGAAAAAAAAAATTGAATTCACGTTCAATGGTAATCCATTGACAGGTTCTCAGAATATTGTGATTACAAGCAATTTCTCATATACATATATGACCCTTTGATCTTTGACCTCATGACCATAAAATCTACTCAGTTCATTGGCTCTGCAAGATGTTCTGAGTTAAATAGTAATCCATCTGTCAGTTCTAATGAGAATGCGTTCACAAGCTATTTTTGCATACATAATGGGCCCATGACCTTTGACCTTTGACCTTATGAACCAAGAATCTACTCAGTTCATTGGCTCTGCAAGTAACAAACATGACCTAATTTTGGCATGAATCCATCAATCTGTTCTTGAGATAACGCGATCACAAGCTGTTTTTGCATTCATAATGTGCGCTGTAGCCTTTGACCTTTGACCTACGTGCTCCAAAATCTAATCAGATTGTCTTCCTATGGTGATACACACTATCATTTAGTTTGAAGTTTTTACATCTCCAGTGGTTCTTGAGATATCATGATAACAATCTCAATGTATGGAATTTCATAAGTTGACCTCTGTGACCCTTGACCTTTGACCTACGTGCTCCAAAATCTAATCAGATTGTTTTCCTATAGTGATACACACTATCACTAAGTTTGAAATTAAATCTCCAGTGGTTCTTGAGATATCATGATAACAATCTCAATGTATGGAATTTCATAAGTTGACCTCTGTGACCCTTGACCTTTGACATACGTGCTCCAAAATCTAATCAGATTGTTTTCCTATAGTGATACACACTATCACTAAGTTTGAAGTTTAAATCTCCAGTGGTTCTTGAGATATCATGATAACAATCTCAATACAAGGAATTTCATAAGTTGACCTCTGTGACCTGTGACCTTTGACCTACGTACTCCAAAATCTAATCAGATCGTCTTCCTATGGTGATAAATACTATTCCCGAGTCTTAAGTTTAAATCTTAAATGGTTCTTGAGATATTGTGATAACGGTCAAACGGGACGGACGTACGGACGGACGTACGGTACGACGGACGGACGGACGTACGGACGGACAACCCGAAAACATGATGCCTCCGGCACCACCTTCGGTGGCGGAGGCATAAAAAGTTGCTTTAGAAGCATCAAACAAAGAAATTCTCTAGGTATAATAAACTATCTTTATATGACTGTACATCCATTTTTTACAGTGATGAAAATAAATCTGGTTTCAATTTTGATGCTGCTTCAGCAATTAAAAAAAGGGAAAATACTTGTCAAATATAAAGCATTGATATCGTTAGCTTTTGATCATCGCTGGTGAAAGAAAGACTGTGTTTCAACTTCATTGTCATTCAATTCAAATCATAACACAAGCAGATACAAATTCATTCAAAATTTAGAAGCTTTAAACAAGCAAATACTCTAGATATAATCAACCGTCTTCAAATGAATGTGCATTGATTTGTGCGATGAAATGAATCAGGTTGGAACGTTATGAACACAGGAAGAGAGAGATACCTCCTAAGGTGTTAAGTATTGATATCATCAGCTGCTGATCATCGCAAGAGAAAGAGAGACTGCATGGTTTTCTTCATCTGTTCTTGTTGCTAGATAGGAACAAAAAGAAAACTGTCTGTTAAAAACTGGTTAAACCAAAATCAGAATATCTTCATGTACTGTTGTTGCTTTGTTTTTTGTGCTGTTTATGTTTTTTTTTCTTTATTGCTGTTTCACAAGATTCCATTTTACTTGAAAAAAAATATATCATTTGGAATATATTCGTTATCCAATTTGATAACACCTTCGTCCAGTTACACACATTGCTGAACAATTGAGATAATTGGCTCATGGCGCTTTACACATATAACCCTGGTTGTAGCAGAGCTGCCAAAGTAACTAGTGCTCATATCAGGTACCCATTTACACCTGGGTGGAGAGTGGCAAATATAGATTAACAAATATCCAATGGTTCTGCATGTATCATGTTGACAGCCTCCGATATTAAAGTTGGAATGACACTAAATAACAGTTTTATTTTCATTTCATTTGCACTACTCTGTATACAAAAAGGGAGAAAAAAAGATTTCATATCTTGGACTTGACTGTCTCTTACCATATCTTGCATCATTTTCTTGAGCATGTTCTTCATCTCCTTATTTACAACGTGCTGGAGAGATTCTACAACATTCTCTCCTAGGCAGGCACTCTTCTCCAGGAACCCTGCATGCAACTCCTCCACTCTGGACAAGCTTAAAGGTAAAATAGATGAAGATTGATAGAATGATGATCCAAAGAAGATGTAAAGCAACCTAATAGATTGTTCATCATCTGACCTTTTGAAGACAATCTATAACATTCTTTCTTATACTATCACCCTTTTAAAGAAAGGCTGCATGTAACTCCTTAACTCTGAACAAGCTAAATATTAAAATACATGAAAATTTATAAAATGAAGATCTAAAGAAGATGTAGAACAACCCAACAATATGTCTCCTCATCTCCTTATTAATGAGCTGTTGAAGAGAATCTATCACATTCTCTCCTAGATTATCACCCTTCATAAGAAAAACTGCATGTACATGTAACTCCTCAACTCTGGACAAGCTAAATAGTAAAATACATGAAGATCGATAGAATGATGATCTAAAGATATAAAACAACTCAACAAAATGTTCTTTATCTCTTAATTAATGAGCTGTTAAAGAAAATATATCAAGTTCTCTCATAAAATATCACCCTTCTCAAGAAAGGCTGCATTTTAATCACCAAATTTTGACAAACTGAAAATTGAAACAAAATCTGCATGACAATGATCTATAGAAGATGTAAAAACACCCCCAAAATATCTTATCTCCTAATTAATGACTGCTTAAAGGGAAGCTATCACATTGTCTTCAACAATATCAGCCCTCTACAGGAATGATACTTTCAAGATCTTTACGATTTAAACATGGATGAAAGTCATCACGATTAAGTTCTACAGTAGATGTAAAAACAGTGTTATAAAAGCTCTTTATTGTGTTTTTAACAACCTGTTGAAGATATTCCATTGAATTCTCTATTGTACTATCAGCTCTCTCCTCGCTATGAAGAATGTTTTGAAAAAGCTGAAAATTTATACTTGTATGAAGGTCAATACAAGTAGGACCTACAACACATATAGAGTCACTGCATAACATATTCTTTGAACACCTTGTTAGATGATCTGGAAACTACTCTTGACAACCTTTGCTTTATGTGGTTTGAGCTTTGGCTTAGTTTGGGCATAGGGGTAGACATTGGTTTGGATCTTGCTTTGAAGTTAGACATTTTGCAAATACAAGTAAGCAAAGCAAATATATATTTTCTTTTTATGCTCACTGGACATAAAAATAACCCGGTAATTTTTTTATATATGCAATCAGGTGTTAGATGTTAGATGTTAGGTGTTAGTTGTTAGGTGTTAGGTGTTAAGTGTTATAGGTTAAAATTGTCGCTAGGGACCAGCCCCACACAAGACTTATTTGTTCTTTCTTGCTGGTTCCTCATTTGTATATATATTTCTATTTTATGTTTGTCTTTCGTTATGTTATTTGTATGTTCTTTACTTATCTGTAAATATCAATGTTATAATCATGTATGTTTTTTATATGACGAAAGAAATAAAATGAAATGAAATGAAATGAAATGAAATGAATAATTAGTGTTCCAGTTCTACGCCACCATTACAGATTGATCTAGCACTAGAAACAGTAAAACAATCTTGAAGCCTTTGGTTCATCTATCCCATGAAAAATTCTATGCGGCACAGTGCTTATTTGGGTGGCATTTAAAGACGAGGTTGAGTTCTGGGAAGAGGTGAAAAATAATTTGTGAGCGTTTTCATTGTTTTTATTAAGTGTGGAAGAACTTCAGATACAAAATTGTTCCCTGAAAAGCATGGCTCTTCAAATGCCTTAATATTCTAAATTTGGCATGTGATATAGCATAAGAATTGGGATGGATTTTATGCCACATGTTCATGTAGTCCCATTTACATATTTCTGTGTACAGTTTCTTTACCAAGACTGGGCCAAATTTCTTATCATTTTGATGATTCTAGAACCGTGCAGTACACACCAATACTTATGTGCTAGATGATCAACCTTTTCTGATCGATTCAACACCGTTTCTTTCACAATGCAATTGCATGACGAACTCAGCTTTATCTTTAAAGCGTTAAGGCCTACAGCTTAGCTGTCATGCTAGGAATATTGATTGATGGAGTTGAAACAAGGAGGGGCTAGTTATTGAATAGATACCATGTGTCAAATGGATTGATTAGTGGTTGACCTAATAACACCTTTTAGACAGCTATGGCATTGAGGGAATAAAATTAGATCAAGTATGGAGTGGGAGTCGGTTAGAACAATTTTGACAGCTACATAATGTAGGGAAAATAAATAGATCATGCAGAATTTTTCAATTAAAACAAAATCGTAACCTTTTTCATTTCTACAATAAAACCAATCTCACAACCAATTTTTTTTTAAATCAAAGTCTAAGAGTTATGAGCTTAGATTCTTTTGTACTGTAAATAGGATGTTTCTCCATTTATGGATCATACTCCCTAACCAAGCTGCAAGATTGAACAATTTCTAAAGTTATAAGAAATTTCTTACATTACTGGGAGGTTGACTTTTAAATTTTCTACACAATCCAATTTACATGAAGTGCATATAAAGCCTTGTTCTTACATTTTGAGGTAAACAACCTTAAAAACCACTGATGTAGATGAATAAAATGAAACCTTTCTATATCTTATGACATACAGACACATCTTGAAGAAAATTTACATAAAATTAAGCCTAATCGAGATAGTACATGTATTTACCAACTCTGCAAACCACTATGTTTCATGCAGCTACCCTAAGCAATCTAAACAATATACTTACTGCTGTTCTACGTGTTGCGTGGACTTCTTGGCGTATTGTTTGAGGATTTGTTCATTCTGGGCTTGAATCTTGTCGAGTTTCTCCAGATTTCTCTCCATGCCGACCAACTCTGTCAGCAGCTTGTCCTGGAACGCATTCTGGCTCCTTTGTCTGATTTAAGAAAAATGTTTAATGATAATAATCATAATGATAATACCAACAATATTCTGTGCATATAGAGATTGTTTCACGTTGTAGAGGTATTGTGGTCTGGTGGATAAGTCACCCGACTGCAGATCACAAGGTACAAGGTTCAAGCCCTGCCGCAGCACTAATGTCCTTTGGCAAGACCTTAATCTACATTTGCCACTCTCCACACAGGTGTGGATTGGTACCTGATATGCTTAAGTGCTAGTTTCTTTGGCAGCTCAGCTACAACCAGGGTAATATGTGTAAAGCACCAAGAGCTTCAGAGCCTGGCGGATACGGGCGCTATATAAATATCCATATTATTATTATTATCATTATCCTTGTGTGTTTCCAAAGAGTTTTGAGCAAATTATCAGCATCAAGTACAATAATTGCTAGGACTTGAACCTAGAACCCGTTGTATCACCGGCCAAGTATTTACACCATAGGTACAAGGGACACCAGCAGCACCTTCGGCAGTTGCTATTTTTGTTTCACACCTCGTATTTAATTTGAGCAGAATTTATATACATCTCAAAATCAGGTCGGCAAACAAATCTATGCTGATAATAATACCATGAATTGTTTATCCAGGGTAGCCTCATCAGTATTAATATTGTTCTCCCTGAGGGCCCTGCAATCATATTATTACCCCAGCTTTAGCCAAACTACCGTGAAAAGGTTCTTAAGCATTCAAGGAATTTCTTCCTGATTGAATAACTAGTTCAAATACAATGATATATTATGGAAAATCAGTGAATCAAATATTTATTTTGATTTACCTTGCTTTGTGGAGTTCCAAAAAGAGTTTGTTCATCTGGTTTTGAGTTGATTGAATAGCAGACTCTGTGAGCTGCTGAGATTGGTTTCTCTTCTCCTGATAAAATAAGAAACACAAAGTGCATATATTTGTTATCAATGATAAATAATTATGTTACCATCATAATCATCACCACCCATCATTAGCATCAGCATCATCATTATTATCCTTCCCTTCATCTGCTTTCATTACCATCAATATCATGTTCACTGTTTTCATCCTCTCCATTGTTATCATCACCATTTGATTGACAGACAGGCCGCGAAAGAAACCATTACCATTAACATCATCATCATCATCATCATCACCATCTCAACCAACAACATCACCATCATTATAATTTTCATCATCATCATAATCATAATCATAATCATCATCTTCAACATCACTATCATCACCATTGCCATTACCATCGTCATCGTCATCATCATCATCATCACCAATATCATCATCGCCATTGCCATTACCATCGTCATCATCATCATCGTCATCATCATCATCATCACCATCACCATCACCATCAGTTCACCATCACCATCACCATCACCATCACCATCACCACCACCATCTCAACCACCAACATCACCACCACCACTATCATTCAAGAGCACTTTGTACAAACTTTACCATCATCTTTTGCTTGAGTCTGTTTCTCATGAATCCAAACATTTCAGGCATCTGCATGGCAGGGAAGTCCATGTTGTGACCCCAGGACGATGAGATGGAATGATCACTGATGCCATCCTCACCGGAGTGTTCACTCAGCTCTGCTTCACCTGTGACAAATAGTAGTGAGAATGGGACAAGATTAAGATGAGATGGATGATCACTGATGCCATCCTCACCAGAGTGTTCACTTAGCTCTGCTTCACCTGTGAATAATAGTAGTGAGAATGGGACAAGATTAAGATGAGATGAATGATCACTGATGCCATCCTCACCAGAGTGTTCACTTAGCTCTGCTTCACCTGTGACAAATTAGTAGTAGTGGTGGTTATTTTACCTGACTGCTAAGAAAGCATAAATGCTTGTTAGTAATCAACAAGAGGACCGATGGCTTTAGGTCCTCTCCGAGGGACCTGGTAATGAGGATTAATGCCTTACCAAAGGATACTAGCACATCGACTTGATTTCGAAACTGGGTCGCCGTATTACGAGACCACTACTCTACCGACTGAGCTATCGTGCCTCCATCATCAATTGTAGTGAGAATGGGACAAGATTAGGATAAGATGAAAGCAGTCAAACAGTCTAATCTGCTTCAGCAACCACCTGTATGAAAGGACCACTGATCTGTACAGTAAAGGCTACATTCTGTAATGCTTCCCTTGCCCTGTTTCTCATTAATACATGTACAGTGTACATGAATACCATAGACCTATAAGATAAAACACACCCTTCTTGTTAGTATTTATAATCAAGATTCACTGCATATCTGTCATGAAAAAGAATTTAATACAATTGGTTGGATCATAGTACATCTTGTGATGAGAAATAGTTCACATGGCCTTATGAAAATTAGTACATTCTTATCCTAGCACCTTACAACCTTGAGGAGCGATAGCTCAGAGGTAGCGAGCAGTGGTCTCATAACCGGGAGGTCTTGGGTTCGTAACCAAGTTGATGCGGTAGTGCCCTTAAGTAAGGCATTAATCCCCATTACCAAATCACTTGGAAAGGACTTAAAGTCTTCTGCCCCCTGGTTACTTACTTACTTCCAAGCATACACATGCTTTATTTAATAGCAGTCAGGTAAAATAAACAAACCACATCTTATCACTCATATCCGGCCTACTTTATTGCTGTACCTGTGTATAATATATTAAGATAACAGTGTTACAGATTTGAGTCTTACTTGCAGAGGGACTTGAATGAATGAGGGAGAATATCTACAAGACTCTTTGTCTGACAACATGCCTAAGATAACAGGTGAACACAAATCACATGGTGTAATGAATCATGGGATCCATGCAGTCTAGAGCTTCTAAATGATTGCACCATTCCATATCAGGGGTATGAAACCAAGACAAATTTATGCGCTGAAATTATAACAAAAGCCAGTAAAAAAGAATTACCTTTTGGTTCATTAGCCTTGAACAGTACTGTGGGTTCCAGGAAGGAGGTCTGTCCTAAGCTTAGATTCAATCCACGCTGCTTGTCCTTACTTCTTTGGCCATCCCCTTGATCAACAACAGCATCCTCCTCCTCCTCCTCATCGTCCTCGAGATCGACATCCTCATCATTGTCCTCATCATCGTCTTCATCTAAGAGAAGGTTGGCATACTTCCTTTTCAGAGAGGATTCAGATGGTCTTATACTCTTAGATGGACCTGTAAACACGTCATATGATAAATAAAAATGGTTATCTAATGCCCTTTCAATTTTTTTCCTTTTTTCCTTTTTTCATGTTGAGGGGGGGGGGGGGGGGCAATGATCATAGATTAACTTAACGAGTTAGATTTTGACATAAAAAACACTTTGTCTCACTTTAAATTGGGCAAAAAATATACTGCATGGGAATTAACTTCCAGATGAGTTAAACAATCCATCGTTTCATAACGTGTAATTAGTTGAGTCTCCATAGACTGACGTAATATTATGAACCTTTGTTCTTTTTCTGAAAGAAAAAAAGCGCTCTATAGTCCAAACATATATGATAATAATAATAGTATTAAGTATCTGGATTTATATAGCACTTAATATGAAATACTGTCTCTAAATGCTTTACAGATACTATTACCCAGTCATCGGATCCGTGCACTCACAGTGTGCACCATCTCCACTCCCTGGGGATTATTCCTACTTTTTGGTCACCTTGAGGGCATATATGGCAATTACCAACACAAAGACTTTCGTCATCCTACCAGGTCCTCGTTTCTCTCCTGGGTGGCAAATGCAGATAAATGCCTTTCCAAATGATATCAGTGCTGTGTAGGAGAACAAACCCACAGCCTTTGACTTTCAAGTCATGTACTTAAACCACTGGACCACGAACCTCTTAGTTCAACACTAAAATTCTGGGGAGATATTTGACACTCACGGCATGGAATGGGTTAAGTAAGAATACCATTACCTGCATGCCCTTGAAATTTATGGCACCCTGGATACACATACCAGGTATATCCAGGAAAGATGGTATGTCCCTTGTACATACAAGCCCTGGTAATGAACACTGACCTGGGCATTTAATACACCCTGTGGAATTTACATCCAGTATCAGTTTCATATGGGTTGAAAACCACAACCTGACTATCAATTCCACTTTCAATCTAGACGGCTAGATTGACACCCACACTGCAATCAAGTAGACATATGTAGACAATTTGGGATTGTAACTGGTACCTACTGAATAATGCCACAAAGCTCCTAATAGAAATGGATGAGCTTTTTCATGACTGGTTTTCTTCGATCCTAGTTCCTCATCAAGTCCAAATATGTTTTTCTTTTCTTTTCTTTTTTTTTTCTCTTCGTAGCTTACATGTAGACCATAATAAATATCATTGGGATTCGGTGTATCTAACCCAATCCGAGCCTTCAGGGCCAGATGTAATTTTAACCGGTTGATAATAGTTTAGTTTTGTATAACTCACATTACCCATAGACACTACCTGATATGAGCTATCATGACATGGACTTGCTATGCAACAGATGAATGGCCCAAATTTATGGAACTATGATGCGAGCAATTTTTATATCAGACATTAATCTACATACGCCACTCTCAAACCAGGTGATGTAAATGGGTGCCCAGTAGGAAAAAATTCCATGAATATAAGAGCACCTTATTAGAGTAGCTCAATTAATGCCGGGATAGTAATAGTAAAGCACTCAGAAACTTAAATATTATATCAAGTGCTATATAAATGTTATGATTGTTGTTTTTGTTGTTGTTTTGTTACTGTTGTTGTTAGTGTCATCTTTCTTGTTGTTCTTGGTGTTTTTATCATCATCATCATCATCATCATCACCATCATCATCACCATCATCATCATCACCATCATCATCATCATCATCACCATCATCACCATCATCATCATCATCATCATCATCATCACCATCATCACCATCATCATCATCATCATCATCATCACCATCATCACCATCATCATCATCATCATCATCATCACCATCATCACCATCATCATCACCATCATCACCATCATCACCATCATCATCATCATCATCACCATCATCACCATCATCATCATCATCATCATTGTCATCACCACCATCATCATCATCATCATAATCATCAGATGCCTAAAACTGGACAAACATTAACATACCTGCCAACATTTGAAAATGAGAATTAAGAATTTTTAGTACGGTATGTCTTCGAAAATAAGAAATGTACCCTTATCAGGCAGCGGCAGTGTAACTGGCAATATGCGGTAAATCTGTGCAAAAAAGCGAATACAAATTCGCTGCTCAATCATGCAGCCCTTCAACGCACGCAATATGTGAACTCTCACATCGCGGCATATGATAAAACATGCTTAATTTGGTTTAAGCAACAACAACATGAAGAAGAAAAAAAAAAAATCGAAATTTTGGATTTTGGGGTCCTAAAAATCCAGAAAAACAGAATATTCTGGATTATTCGGAAGGGTTGGCAGGTATGCATTAGGGTAAATTAATTAGAAAAATTTGAATATATTGTTGGCTGCCCACAAGGAGTCCATAAAAGCTACATATTGTCAATGGCAGAAGCAGGCTGCTTGGGGGCAGCCAAAAATGTGCAATTAGATACCTGAAACTGGACATTCCATCTCAAAGTCTCCTTCTCTTTCAGATCCCAAACTTTCCAGCTCGTCAACAAACGAAACTTGCTGAAAATATAAAAGGAAAGACAAAAACATTGTCAAATGTGCATCAAAAATGGTGCTTTTCAGTGCGACCGACAATTTTCAGGTGGGCTGTATAACGTACAGACCACCTTATAATTTCGTTAGAATTGCCTTTATTTATTATATATTTTTCTTATTTCTAACCACTTTTTTGTGAACAAGATAACTTGGAAATGGCTCAATCAAATGCCTAGAAATTTGGCACACATATGTATAGACATATGTACAAAGCACAATAACGTTTTCAACATTGACCTTCACTGATGACGTCATCTAGGCGCCATTTTGTAAAATTTTACGAAAATCAACTCATGATCATATCTTCATAACCAAAAGGTATTTCTCGTTCATATTTATCATGATCAAGGTCAATATCCGTCCGGTCAATAAAAGGTCAAATAACGCGCGCGTGTGCGCGTACGTCCGCGCGTCAATGCGCGCGCAAAATTTTGAAATGCTCAAAATCGTCTGAAAATCATTTTGCATACGTTTTAGGCCATTCTAAGCATTTTATAAAAAATCGCGCGTACGAGCATGCGCGCGCGTTTTCGCGCGTAAAACTTTTGCACAAATTGAATTGCCTTTTTTTTTTCTTTCATAATATACCACATATATTTACAAACATATTGATACCATGTTTGTCTCTTTATGACTATTAATAACGGAATGATCGACCGTTTAACATAAATCTCCATGCGCGCGAGCTCTTGTAATACATAGCATATATGGGCAAAAACACGCCTATACAAAATCCATTGTAGCTCTTTAGGATGCAAGGTGACCCCAATTTGTTTTCATATTTTAAAAGAGTATGATTCGGAAATATTGTTTCATGTCTCATTTGACCCTCAATTAACTCATGACGTCATCATAATGGCCTCCGAACTCAAAATTCCAATTTGCATATTATGACGTCAGCATATTTATGGAAAATTGATTGTATCTCTGTAAATATTGATCAATTTTCTTCCAAATTTTAATATGTTCTAGCTGAGACAAATTTCTACAAATGCAGTCAGTACTATTCTTCATTTTGACAAAGGTATCATGGCGTATTTTTGCGATAAAAAGGAGGCATGTCAATTTTTCACATTTTGCGTGTATTCTCTATGGGACATGACTTTTTCTCAAAACTCGATTCTACATTCCCGTCTTTCGCGGGCAACATCTACGTCATTTTAGCTTCATTTACGCTGAACTTCGAGTATGATGTAGCTGAGACAATTAGCTATCTCAAATGTGCCCTTCATTTTGTCTAAAATGTTAGCTGGACCAGCCCACCTATACTTGTACCAAACAAGTATTACAAATCTAGTTATCATTGTTTTCTGCTTCTAAGGAAGGGGAGGGGAGGGGGCTTTCCCACAAATAAAGAACAATATTCATAACATATCATCTGTTTGGAGCCAGAAGGGCATTATCTCATATACTTTAACGTGGAGTAAACGCCCTCCTGGCTCTCCACAAGGGATATGTACCCTAACAAACAAACATATACGGTAGCTCTAATATTATTAATCATGTCATAAGATTACAATGTACATACTTTGATATTTCTGTCATCCAATAATGAGTTCATCAATGTCTCTTTCTAATATTTATTTAAAGACATAATGGTAGAAATTTGGGTATGGTTAATGATCTCCCTTTCTCCCTTCCTCCCTCCCTCTCTCTCTCTCTCTCTCTCTCTTCCCCCCCCCCCCCACCCCCCCCCCCCCCCCCCCCCCCCCCCCCGCCTCCCTTTCCCTTTCACTCCCATTATCTTAATATGCACTTTAGAAACATGGTATTAGTATGTGCTATAAAAGTTTTGTTGCATATTTTTATTATTATCACAAGGAATTTACATCTACGCAGAAAACAAGAAAATAGAAATACATGTAGGTACACTTACAGTTTATACCTACATTGTGTGGTTGGCATAAAAATGAATTTGCATCTTTACAAGCAAGAGTAAATGTAGCATGTTTATGTGCACGTGCATGTCAGTTGGAATGGAAAAAGAGGAGACAAAAAAAACTAACCAATATCTGTAAACAATTGGTAAAAGAACTGGTATTTACTCAAATATGTATTGTAGAACCTCTCTATTAAAGATAAAGTTGAGTTCTGGTCATGCGATTGCATAGTAAAGAAACGGTGTGGAATCAATCAAGGTTGATCATCTAGCATATAAGCATTGGTGTGTACATCAAGGTTCTGGAATCATCAAAATGATCAGAAATTTGGCCCCAGTCTTGGTAAAGTTACAATCACTGTACACAGAGAGATGTATATGGGCCTACATGGACATGTGGCATAAAATTCTGTCCCGATTTGATGCTGTTACATACCATACTTAAAATATTGAGGTAGTTAAAGAGCTATGTTTTGCAGGGAACATGATTTATCTGATGTAATTCTTCCACACTTGCATAATAACTATGATAACGCTCACAAATCATTTTTCACCTCTTCCCAGAACTCAACCTTCTCTTTAAGGCCACATGTTCACAGTGGCCATGTCTCTCCGCTTCCCCTGTGTGGTCTCAAAAGATAGGTACGAGTGTCCATTTACACATACATGTACATTTATTAGAATGAAACAAGGAAATGGACACTGCACATGCACATGCAAGAGGAATTCACATTCAAGCAAAATCTAGATGTACATGTAGAGGCCATGTAGAGTCATTACGTCTAAAATTAGACTTGATCAGAGTCAGTTATGTGTTTTCTTTGAATAAAGAGTGATTAAAATGATTATAGTAACCTTGCAATGATATGCTGGTACTAACATGAATGAACATGTTGAAAATTGCAATCACAGTGACGTAATTTAGAGAAAAAACAAGCATATCCACTTTGCCTATTCCTAAATTCAAGGCTCCAATTTTGTTGAAATATTGCAATAACAAGAATAAACAAGATAAATGGGTAATTCCATAAATTAGGGGCCCACTTTGTGACATTTTTGGTGTCCCACTTACATAAGGAACCCACACATATTTGTGGCTTGATTTAAGACTTACATAGTGGAGTAAGATTTTCATTTTCATTTGTTCATTTATTTCCATATCCATAAAAACAAAGATCATAACAACAATATACATTATATAAAAACTTACATGCAATCATACAACTTAACAGTATCAAAAATACTGAATTTACTAGTCGGAAATGAGAAAAGGGGAACTAAAATAAGCCCAAAGGGCCTTGTAAAAAAATTCCCTAAAAGTATAAATTAACATTTGGTTTTTCAACTTATTCTGTTACTGAAAGACATGTAAACAAATTTTAAAACAAACACTGGATAAAAAATTTAAAAAAAAAAAAAAAAAAAACAACAACAAAAGCCAGAGGAACAGCAAAGTCTAAAATATGGTTATGTTTTATGTCAGTATTTGGACAAATAATACATTTTCAGATATTTTTTGAATAATCTTGGTTATTGCAAAGCAGAATATATTTTGGTAACGAATTCCAAATCACAGATTGCAAAGTGATTTTCCAAGCATAATAATGCATCCTCATACATAGAATCACTTAACAATCTCGCTCCATTATCTAAGTCTTTACTCAGGGCCACAAATACGTCTTGGTTACTTATGTAAGTGGGACACCAAAAATGTCACAAAGGGTCCCTAATTTATGGAATTACCCAAATGTGACTGCTCCAACATCCCTCCCCTTAATTCAGTTAAATCAACAGCTCTACCTATCTATCTATCTATCTATCAGGCTATAGTTCATCAAGACATTGGACAAGCCCTCCTCAACAGCTCTAAGTATGACTTAATTACAGTAGCTAGAAACACCTGTTCTCCACCCTCATTGTTTTTTTCTAAGAACCAGCAATTAGAACTGTTTTGCAAAATAATTTACATGTGTATAACATGTTGAATCAGTATGGACATCTGGGAAGTCATCATCTCGATGGTCAGAGCGGGCGTGGCCGGCAGTCTACCCTCCTCCTCCTCGTCCTCCTCCTCCTCCTCCCTTCCATCATTCTGCACTCTCTTGCAGAACTCATATCTCTTACATTGATTATGACCTACCTTTGGTGTTCTGGGTGTCCTGGTGCCACTCCCCGGAGTACTCCATGTGGACATCTGGGAAGTCATCATCTCTATGGTCAGAGCGGGGCGTGGCCGGCAGTCTACCCTCCTCCTCCTCCTCCTCCCTTCCATCATTCTGCACTCTCTTGCAGAACTCATATCTCTTACATTGATTATGACCTACCTTTGGTGTTCTGGGTGTCCTTGTGCCACTCCCTGGAGTACTCCATGTGGACATCTGGGAAGTCATCATCTCGATGGTCAGAGCAGGCGTGGCCAGCAGTCTACCCTCCTCCTCCTCCTCCTCCTCTCTACCATCATTCTGCACTCTCTTGCAGAACTCATATCTCTTACATTGATTATGACCTACCTTTGGTGTTCTGGGTGTCCTTGTGCCACTCCCCGGAGTACTCCATGTGGACATCTGGGAAGTCATCATCTCGATGGTCAGAGCAGGCGTGGCCGGCAGTCTACCCTCCTCCTCCTCCCTTCCATCATTCTGCACTCTCTTGCAGAACTCATATCTCTTACATTGATTATGACCTACCTTTGGTGTTCTGGGTGTCCTTGTGCCACTCCCCGGAGTACTCCATGTGGACATCTGGGAAGTCATCATCTCTATGGTCAGAGCAGGCGTGGCCGGCAGTCTACCCTCCTCCTCCTCCTCCTCCCTTCCATCATTCTGCACTCTCTTGCAGAACTCATATCTCTTACATTGATTATGACCTACCTATGGTGTTCTGGGTGTCCTTGTGCCACTCCCTGGAGTACTCCATGTGGACATCTGGGAAGTCATCATCTCGATGGTCAGAGCGGGCGTGGCCGGCAGTCTACCCTCCTCCTCCTCCTCCCTTCCATCATTCTGCACTCTCTTGCAGAACTCATATCTCTTACATTGATTATGACCTACCTTTGGTGTTCTGGGTGTCCTTGTGCCACTCCCTGGAGTACTCCATGTGGACATCTGGGAAGTCATCATCTCGATGGTCAGAGCAGGCGTGGCCAGCAGTCTACCCTCCTCCTCCTCCTCCTCCTCTCTACCATCATTCTGCACTCTCTTGCAGAACTCATATCTCTTACATTGATTACCTACCTTTGGTGTTCTGGGTGTCCTTGTGCCACTCCCTGGAGTACTCCATGTGGACATCTGGGAAGTCATCATCTCTATGGTCAGAGCGAGCGTGGCCGGCAGTCTACCCTCCTCCTCCTCCCTTCCATCATTCTGCACTCTCTTGCAGAACTCATATCTCTTACATTGATTATGACCTACCTTTGGTGTTCTGGGTGTCCTGGTGCCACTCCCCGGAGTACTCCATGTGGACATCTGGGAAGTCATCATCTCGATGGTCAGAGCGGGCGTGGCCGGCAGTCTACCCTCCTCCTCCTCCTCCTCCTCCCTTCCATCATTCTGCACTCTCTTGCTGAACTCATATCTCTTACATTGATTATGACCTACCTTTGGTGTTCTGGGTGTCCTGGTGCCACTCCCCAGAGTACTCCATGTGGACATCTGGGAAGTCATCATCTCTATGGTCAGAGCGGGCGTGGCCGGCAGTCTACCCTCCTCCTCCTCCTCCTCTCTACCATCATTCTGCACTCTCTTGCAGAACTCATATCTCTTACATTGATTATGACCTACCTTTGGTGTTCTGGGTGTCCTGGTGCCACTCCCCGGAGTACTCCATGTGGACATCTGGGAAGTCATCATCTCTATGGTCAGAGCGGGCGTGGCCGCAGTCTACCCTCCTCCTCCTCCTCCTCCCTTCCATCATTCTGCACTCTCTTGCAGAACTCATATCTCTTACATTGATTATGACCTACCTTTGGTGTTCTGGGTGTCCTGGTGCCACTCCCCGGAGTACTCCATGTGGACATCTGGGAAGTCATCATCTCGGTGGTCAGAGCAGGTGTGGCCGGTAGTCTACCCCCCTCCTCCTCCTCCTCCTCCTCCTCCTCCTCTTCCACCTCTCTTCCATCGTTCTCCTCTCCATCATCATCTTCATCTCTCACATCTTGAGAGCTGTCATACATGTGGTTGATGCTGGACATGCATTCCACAAGGCTTCTCCTGCAGCTGCTCTTTGGCTGTAAAAGAGAGTCAGGGTGCATTGTTATAGAGCATTGCAAGCTACAAAGCTTGCCATACATGTAGACTTGTACAAGTGTAGAATCAGGGGAGTGTTTCACAAAGATCCCATTGCTTACCTCTAAGTTGGACTTAACAATTATGAAAAGTTGTTAGCATCTTTAAAATATAAAGTTATTTTAAAAGGCATAAAATGTTGATTCAAATCATTCATATTTTCTATTATCAAGGAGATTTCATGTTCTTGGTGTGGAATTTATGAAAAGTCTAAAATACTTGAATTTTTGCATATAGTTTGAATATATTCTATTGTAAGGCTACAAATGGCTCTCCATAATGTTAAAGTCCAACTTAGAGTAAGGTATAACTTAGGATCTTTGTGAACACCCCCCATAATATGTAGTCACAAAACATTGCAAACAACAAAGCATGCCATAAACTTGGACAAGTGCGAATCAGGACTTGATCAAGTTTGGTACAGAAAGTTTGCTCGACTAATATGAATGCAGGGTCGTCAGTGAGAAGAGTATTGATACTGATGAGGCTGCACTGGTTGACCAAGACACATTATTATTATAATCATTATATTATTATTATAATTATTATATTATTATTAAACTAGATGGAATTTTGACTGCGCGCAGTCGAAAATGATGCCTCCGCCATAGAGCAATTTAAACAAGTTTGGAGTTTAAATCTCCAGTGGTTCTTGAGATATCATGATAACAATCTCAATGTATGGAATTTCATAAGTTGACCTCTGTGACCCTTGACCTTTGACCTACGTGCTCCAAAATCTAATCAGATTGTCTTCCTATGGTGATACACACTATCATTAAGTTTAAAGTTTAAATCTCCAGTGGTTCTTGAGATATTATGATAACAATCTCAATGTATGGAATTTCATGAGTTGACCTCTGTGACCCTTGACCTTTGACCTACGTGCTCCAAAATCTAATCAGATCGTCTTCCTATGGTAATACATACTATCCTTAAGTTTGAAGTTTTACATCTCCAGTGGTTCTTGAGATATCATAAAACATCTCAATGTATGGAATTTCATAAGTTGACCTCTATGACCCTTGACCTTGACCTACGTGCTCCAAAATGTAATGAGATTGTTTTCCTATAGTGATACACACTATCACTAAGTTGAAGTTTAAATCTCCAGTGGTTCTTGAGATATCATGATAACAATCTCAATGTATGGAATTTCATAAGTTGACCTCTGTGACCCTTGACCTTTGACAAACGTGCTCCAAAATCTAATCAGATCGTCTTCCTATGTGATACATACTATCCTTAAGTTTGAAGTTCAAATCTCATGGTTCTTGAGATATCGCGCTAACAACTCAATACAAGGAATTTCATAAGTTGACCTCTGTGACCTGTGACCTTTGACCTACGTACTCCAAAATCTAATCAGATCGTCTTCCTATGGTGATAAATACTATTCCCGAGTCTTAAGTTAAATCTAAATGGTTCTTGAGATATTGTGATAACGGTCAAACGGGACGGACTACGGACGGATGTACGACGGACACCCGAAACATAATGCCTCCGGCACCACACTTCGGTGGCGGAGGCAATAAAAATATATTTTCCTCCAAAATGCTGAACCACCCCGAACCTTCTATTTCGGCCCGAAAGTTGTGATAATTCAAATTTTTACAATATTTGCCCCTACTACGCCCCTTCCAAAGGGATATGGGGGTCAGGATCCATCTAATGGCATGTATGTACATTCATTGTGGGGAAACTAGCCTATTCAAAAAAATAATATTTTCCTCCAAAATGCTGAACCACCCCGGCCCTTACCATTTCGGCCTGAAATTGGTGTTTATTCAAATTATCACAATATTTGCCCCTACGCCCCTTTCAAAGGTATGGGGGTCAGGATCCATCTAATGGCATGTATGTACATTCATTGTGGGGAAACTAGCCTATTCAAAAAATATAATTTTTCCTCCAAAATGCTGAACCACCCCGGCCCTTACCATTTCGGCCTGAAATTGGTGTTTATTCAAATTTTCACAATATTTGCCCCTACGCCCCTTTCAAAGGGATATGGGGGTCAGGATCCATCTAATGGCATGTAGTACATTCATTGTGGAAAACTAGCCTATTAAAAAAAAAATTATTTTCCTCCAAAATGCTGAACCACCCCGGCCCTTACCATTTCGGCCTGAAATTGTTGTTTATTCAAATTATCACAATATTTGCCCCTACGCCCCTTTCAAAGGGATATGGGGGTCAGGATCCATCTAATGGCATGTATGTACATTCATTGTGGGGGAAACTAGCCTATTCAAAAAATATAATATTTTCCTCCAAAATGCTGAACCACCCCGGCCCTTACCATTTCGGCCTGAAATTGGTGTTTATTCAAATTATCACAATATTTGCCCCTACGCCCCTTTCAAAGGGATATGGGGGTCAGGATCCATCTAATGGCATGTATGTACATTCATTGTGGGGAAACTAGCCTATTCAAAAAATATAATATTTTCCTCCAAAATGCTGAACCACCCGGCCCTTACCATTTCGGCCTGAAATTGGTGTTTATTATTCAAATTATCACAATATTTGCCCCTACGCCCCTTTCAAAGGGATATGGGGGTCAGGATCCATCTAATGGCATGTAGGTACATTCATTGTGGGGAAACTAGCCTATTAAAAAAAAAAATATTTTCCTCCAAAATGCTGAACCACCCCGGCCCTTACAATTTCGGCCGAAAGTTGTGATAATTCAAATTTTTACAATATTTGCCCCTACGCCCCTTTCAAAGGGATATGGGGGTCAGGATCCATCTAATGGCATGTATGTACATTCATTGTGGGGAAACTAGCCTATTCAAAAAATATAATTTTCCTCCAAAATGCTGAACCACCCGGCCCTTACCATTTCGGCCTGAAATTGGTGTTTATTCAAATTATCACAATATTTGCCCCTACGCCCCTTTCAAAGGGATATGGGGGTCAGGATCCATCTAATGGCATGTATGTACATTCATTGTGGGGAAACTAGCCTATTCAAAAATATAATTTTTTCCTCCAAAATGCTGAACCACCCGGCCCTTACCATTTTGGCCTGAAATTGGTGTTTATTCAAATTATCACAATATTTGCCCCTACGCCCCTTTCAAAGGGATATGGGGGTCAGGATCCATCTAATGGCATGTAGGT